GTAAGAAATTTGGATCAAATCGGCGGTGGAAATCTCGTAAGAAATTTGGATCAAATCGGCGGTGGAAATCTCGTGAGAAATTTGGATCAAATCGGCGGAGGAAATCTCGTCCGTGACATTGAACGATTCTACGAGTGACCTCTGATTGATAAGACGATATAAAAAATTAAAAAAAATGAATGCAAATAAAGAAGATTGATCAATGGAAAAATGAGCAAAATTTGCAAATTGTTCTTATGTCGCGCAACGCTATTCGATTACACAAACCAATACAACTATTGCATAATATTAAAGCACCAAGAAAATTCTTTATGATTATTCTGAAATATTATTAAAAATTTTCAGATCACACGAAGAATAGATATTATTTCAATTTTATCCTAATGATCCTACCTGTCCTACGATCATCCCTTATTAAAATATTCTCTTTTGTTGAAAATCAGATTTCATGATTCACAGATCTGATGATTAATATTTATCTGATTCCAAAGGTATACCAGATGGACATAATTTGGACGGTGGCATTGCCGGTGGTCACTTGTTACGATCAACTCGTCGTAATCTTGACTTTTATCCTGCCCTTATCTACGAGAAACAACGATATTTTCCTTTGAGGTAAAGTGCACAAAATGATAATAAATATACAGACTACTCATAAATAATGAAAGGAATAATATATAAATTTGATCTCTACAAAAGTAATCTAATATTAACAATAATCTTCATTTTGTCATCCATCATTTATGAGCATCCTATATTATTAACGATTATCTTAACTAAACTTCTTATGCATTTGTATGGCCCAGGAAACCAGCAACGTTGAATACACGACTCGGCGATTATGACGACATTCATCCATTCGTTCTCGATCGTTTAGGGAAGAGAAATTTTGATGAGATTGATGCGAACGCGTTCGACAACTTCTACAAAAGAAATTTTGACGAGATCGATCGTGTAGGTTGGAGTGGGTTCGTTAAAAGATTAACTAATTACCTGGTCAAACAGCAGCAGTTACAACAACGGCAACAGCAACAACAACGTTAGATCATCAAGCTAGGCACATTATTGGAATACTCTTTTAAGGTACTCCCTTTTCTCGGAGATATCATATGATATTATAATTATTATAAATGATTCATATCGATAGATATTAACTTGACCTCAAAATCACAAACATAAGAAAATATATAAGACGTATCAATAAAAATATCGTTAAATAAAAAAATGAAATAAGAAATCTATGTGAAAATATGTGTATAACTAAATGTAAATAATGAATCTCTCGTTTCTATCACGTTACGATCTTATATCTCCTCCTCTTTGATAATGTTCGAGAGGACGAATACTCGACTGATTAGAAAAATATATTTTATTGGTTATTGAAAAATATATATTAATAATCACGTTTAAAAAGGCATAAGTAGACAAATTGTCAATTGTTTTGTTTCATCATTATTGATGATTGAAACTTCAAATGTGAAATATCGTATCACGATATTGTAATTAATTCGCGTTCTTTATGTGTGCTTTGAAAATATAGTGAAAATGTAACGCAAATAAAAAGATTAAATCTAGCGATTGAAATGTTTCAATGGTTTCCCTCGTTGCTGTTTATTATCCATTAAATTCCTCAGTATTTTATTCATCTCTTCGTTTATGTCATCCGGTGTTTCGACTCTAACGCTTTCCATATTATGATCCATACGTACGAACTACATTTAATTATAGAAATATAAATATAATATAATCTTATTAATTAAAACAAAAATAAGATCAAAGCTCTCATACGAATTAGTGACTATAAAAGTGCTCCCCGAATAAATTACATTTTTTCTAAAATAATATTATATTGAAAATACTATTATTTTTCATTTTTCAATTATAGAACACTTTTATAATTATTAAATATATAATTATATAATACACTGACTATTATCGTACTATAAGTAATACTATTTTCAAATTTTATAGTTAAACTAATTTTATAATTATTAACACCTAAAATCTTTCCAAAAATTATTTCACTTATCCTATATGATTATATTAAAATATTATTTTGTAATTAATTAATAAAGTTAATGTAGAGAATAATTTAGAAATTAAAACTAAGAGTATTTACCTCTATTACATTCTCTTCGACGGCATTGAATCTTGACGATAATGCAGCTATTTTTGAACTAAGTTTTGTCAAACGATCGGTAATGCAGAGTTCCTTGTTGACATCTTCCTTAATCTACGAGATTTCTTTCATTATAAAATAAATTGAAAATAAAAAATCAAACGTTAAACACCTCGTCCATTGTCTCCATTATTTTGCATTTCATGTAATCTAAACTGGCACGAGATTCATTTACCTGTTAATTAAATAACAAAATAAATAAGTGATTTAAATATCTAATTTAAAATATCCCAACCTACATCGATGTATGTGTGTATTATATATGTTTACCATCGAATTAAAATCAGTGATATCTGCCACGATTTTATAATGCAGTTTCATTGCCCAAAAGAACTGCAACAATTTTCTTTATTTTAATACGATTAAATTGAAAAAAATAAGATATTAAAAATAAAAACTTATAATACTCACACGTTGTAGCGTATATAAAACGACCATTAAGTTTATCAGGACGAATATGGCGCTATTGAATAATTTGAATACAAGATACATGATTAATTTATATCATATTAAACGTTAACGAATGTTTCCAAAGAAAATACTTTCCTTTTCGTATAGAATAATTCGACAAAAGATTTGATAACTCATCTGCATAATTAATTCTTCTAATTAATATAATTTTTCCTTACGTTCAAACTCATAATCCAACGTACAACGAAAACCTGAAGTATGTGAAGATTGGCGCGTTATGTAACAACAACCAATAAAAAGTGTATGTCTATCTATAGATAACCAATAATATTCCTACATTTTTCTATTTCCTGTAACCTCCTTTAGAAAAATGTACCTTTTCTTCTTTTCCCCCGCACGTCAATGAACATATTTCTTATTTCATTATTTTCATTATTTTACTATATTCAAATATACTTCGAAACGAATAAAATAATAATTTTGTATATATTAATAATATTTAGTAACGTGACCATCGTGGTTAATGCAAAACATTAACACGACCGTCCCTTGTTCCCTACATTATCTCCTAATATGATATTACCGTATGAGATTATCATGAATTCATTTATTTATAAATATGTGCAATTTTTAATATGCAATTATTTCCATATAAGAAAAAGCAGATTTAAAATAAGATACATTTTAAAGCGTGGTATACACGATACGATAATGATAAAAATTACGTCGCACATAAATGTCGAACGATCAATAATGAACTAATATAATAAATGTAGAATAATAAACATTAACCAAGAGCCTGTCCCAATAAAAAAGACAAGCAATTTTTATCCTTGCAAACATATATAATATATCGATATAGAATAATATAATGAATTATTTAAGTATAAGTAAAAAATACATTCATCCGCATTTAATCCAATGTGATTTGAATTTAGCGCGTATATGATATATATATATATATTAAATGCGCGAAGTTTAGTCGTAACGGCGCAGCGGTAACCACTGTGCGTGTGCATTCCGCCCCGAAGTAACACCAAAAATATGCAAAAATATGAGAAACTCGAAAAAATAGGAGAAGGTAGGCTGACGATATATATATATATATATATATGTATATATATATAGTTATCCTATTAATTATATATTTCCAATTTAATTAATTAGTCGTTTATATTAACCGTTAAAAAAATAAAACCAATACCGATACAACTATCGTCGTCGGCGCGTTATGTGTGTATGTGTTTAGTGCATATGATAGAAGAAGATGCGTCACTATTATATTATGCAGTGAACTGTCAACATTAAACGTCATTTATTTTCAGGCACTTATGGCACCGTTTTCAAAGCGAAGAATCGCGAAACTCACGAAATCGTCGCTTTGAAAAGAGTACGTTTGGATGAAGATGATGAAGTAGGTATATTTAAATATTATTTTTTATCATTTTTACAATATATGAGTAATAATAATTTGTGATTATCCTTTTCTTATTTCATTATTATTATTATTATTGTATATAATGTTTTGTTTGTCTGTTTAGGGCGTACCATCCTCAGCCCTTCGGGAAATATGTTTATTAAAAGAATTGAAACATAAGAATATAGTACGTCTTTATGACGTATTGCACAGCGATAAAAAACTTACTCTAGTGTTCGAGCACTGCGATCAAGATCTTAAGAAATACTTTGATAGCTTAAATGGAGAAATAGACTTAGACGTAGTGAAATCATTCTTGTAAGAATCTTATCTTCTTTCTATAATTGTAAGCAACAATGATTTACTTATGCGTTTTTTATTTCTTCTAGTTATCAATTATTACGTGGACTAGCATTTTGTCACAGCCGTAATGTACTCCACAGAGATTTAAAACCACAAAATTTACTAATCAATAAGGTATAATTTTGATAATATATATTATAGAACTTAATGATTTTATTTAAATCCACTTATCTTCTAGAATGGCGAGTTGAAGCTTGCTGATTTTGGATTAGCACGAGCATTTGGCATTCCGGTTAAATGTTATTCTGCAGAGGTTGTTACATTATGGTACCGTCCACCAGATGTTCTTTTTGGAGCAAAATTATATACAACGTCCATTGATATGTGGAGTGCCGGATGTATATTTGCTGGTACATCCATTATAAACAATATATATACCAAAAGTCAATATATATACCAAAATTGATTATCAATTTGGATATTTTATTTGCGTAGAGCTAGCAAATGCAGGGAGACCGCTTTTTCCTGGGTCAGACATAGACGATCAATTGAAAAGGATTTTTAAAATGTTAGGTACACCGACGGAAGAAACGTGGCCAGAGTTAACAATGTTGATAGATTACAAACCCTTTCCACAGTATCATCCTACACAAGGATTGGCTCAAGTTACGCCAAAACTTACCTCCAGAGGAAAAGATTTATTACAGGCAAGCAATAGATGTTCTCTTATAATATTAGATATTAATTTTTTCAAAGATAAAAAATAGTATAGATGCATTTCAAGACTTTTTTACAAATATTTTCAGAGATTATTAGTGTGCAATCCAGTACTACGATTGTCAGCGGAAGAAGCAATGGCGCATTCTTATTTTAATGATTTAAACCCTGCCATTAAAAATGACCGTTGCCAATAGCAATCTTGTGTTAGTTTTAGAATTTTTGAAGTTACGTGCTTCAAGTTTACAGACCAAAAATACTCCAACAAAAGATCGTTTGTTGATACATTTCGCACTCGATGCGCCAAACATATTGTGTGATATTAAAAAGTCCTGTTTTATATAAAAAAAAAAAAGAAAAAAAAAAACAAAAATGCATAAGGCGAAACAATAAATTATGAATTTTATCAGAATTTGACAATTTCTATCGAAATTAAAAAAAGTATTATACTCTGTGTTAAAAGAATGAGAGAAAGAGAGAGAGAGAGAGAGAGAGAGAGAGAGAGAGAGAGAGAGAGAGAGAGAGAAAGGAAAATTATTTATTGGTATATTTATGAAAAGAAAAAACCAAAAAAGGATAATATAATAAATCGGAAGCAATACTTATTTATTAATTGATAATTCTGTTAAATAATTAAATAATTCTTAATTAATATATTTTCTTAAATTCTATTTTTACATAGCATCAAAAGGAAACCTATGAGCTTCTTGAAGCTTTTCTATTTTATCTTCCCTCCTCTCCTTCCAATATAACAAAACGATAATTAACGAAATAAGACTGCAGGTTCCGCTTAAAGCAGCTGCACTTAATAAAATTAATTTACTAGGCGTAACAAATAATTGGGCTTTCCATCTGTATGGTCCCGATATTGGATTTGGTATTACTACCATTTGAGAATTTGGAATTATTTGCGGCCATTCTCTTGATTTACCACCGACCTATGAAAGAACATTGTATAATTGTACATAAAAGTATATTATATTTAATTTCATTTATTTATTATGCGTCTAATTGAAATTCATGTACGATCAAATTCATTCTAAATTCAATCAATCGATTTAATGTAATTTGATAAAGATTGTGTTTGGTAACTTACTCCTATCGTTAAGGAATCAACAAAGTTTGGTGTTCTACCCAATCCAAAGGTGGTATATGGTAAATTTAGCGAAAAATATGCACTTTGCGACAATTGAGCAGCAATGGCATTACGCGGATAACCGTCTTGCGTAGTAGTCCTGTAAGCTATTGATGGTCCTGGTAGATTCGTTCCATATGTACGTTTTTTCTTTCCTAATGAACCAGCCGAAATAGGATACATGCTGTTGTTACGTCCAGTGAGTACCATAACTTTAACAAAATTGGCATCATAATCTAAACTGTTTTTAAATGCAGCAGTACGATAAACTTTATTGGCTTTATCTAGTTCTACCAATATTACGTCCAAAATACCATCCTGATAAAAATCGTAGAACACTGCCATAACAGTTTCATTATAAAATGGATTGAGGGCTTGCCAGCGTATATCAAATGTTCGATTGAAGCCATTGCAAGAATTGCAAGCAACATTTTCAAGCAAGAACGATTGTCGCTGTTTAGTGCTAGTAGATTCTAACGTTGCTAATAAATCAGGATAACCATCCATATTAAAATCTCCACCTCTGAGTGTTATTGTATCCGTATAACGTTGACCGTCCCCTTTGACAAATGCCCAAGTATTACTTTTATCTCTAAAATTAATTTGCAAATCGTGCCATCCTTTGGAATACATCATTATGGTGCAATTAGTATGCTTCGCTTTGTCATAACAAAGTGGCAAAAGTAGATCAGCTTTTCCTGTAAGCTCAACGTCAAGGTAAAGAGTCTGACCAATAACTTCCGCATTATGTGGTAAATCGAACTCTTTTTCAAAAGTAAAACCATCTTCCTCGCCGCGCCAAACTTCAAAAGACTTTTTAGTAGTTACAACGAGATCAGGCAAAAAATCATTATTTAAATCAAGAAAAGCATTAGAGTGTGGATGGCTTATGGGTTCCATTTTTCTATGATCTGTGTGTGCCATCTGTTTAACATCGTACTTTCCTCTGTTTTCAGTGAATATCCAAAAAGTTCTATTGTAGTGTTCATCCATGCCAAAAAGATCAATGATCATATCTTGATTATAATCTAACGCCAATGGTTGACCTTGCATACTGAATAAAAGTCGAGTCGTACAATTTAATTGTACAACCGAATCTTTATTTCCCCCCCATAAGATATATACATCGGTAAGTTTAGTTGTTGAATTAGTAGTTGTTACTAGAATATCCATAAAGACATCTCCGTCAAAATCTCCTGGTACAACGCTTGTGACAGGCTCTTCAAAACTACACTTTAGATTATCGTCTGGTCTTAACAAAGGTTCTTGCTCGGCGGCAAGAAAAACTTGTACAGTTTTACCATCCTTGCGTACCATAAATACATCTGTTAATTCGTCTGAATCAAAATCTCCAAATGCGGCAGGCATGCCATCAAGCACGTTACCAAATACAGCTGTAGTTATATCGCTACTGTTAATCGTTGTCACTAAAGTGACTACGCATATGAGTTGTAGAATCCACATGACTAATTTATCTCTACCTGTCAAATATATAATAACGAAAATAATAATAATATATTTTATTTATAATAATTTCAATATATGCGTAATAAATAAGAAAATTTGATCCATAAATATTCTTCTAAAATTCTATTTTCTTTTGAATAATAAAAAATCGTAACAAATCAATCATATCAAATGATGTCATCTCTCAAGTATTATTTTAACGCAATAATATATTTACTAATACTAAGGATTAATTTTCTAAACCAACCTATATCGAATAAAGACGAATATATGCACAACTATAACAGTTTTTCAAATCTTAGAAGTCTCATTCTTAACGTTATATTTGTTGACAGGAATACTAAATGATAACCGTAGGAGAGAACCAAATAACGTCAGAAAGTTAGATTTCTTTTCACATCTCCAATGTTTGCATATGCGCTGACATCTAAAATTAATCTTCTGGCGGCGAATGTGTTTACTAAATCTGATACTAGCGTCACGTAGTAGTAAGTAAAGAAACGCCATACCTACATTATCGACCTTTATTCGATTTATAATACATAAGTATTTAATATTTCAAATTTTATTATATATATTAATTATGTCTATTTGCAATAATAATTAGTTAAAATGTAATTTTGCTGTGTTACAGCACGTTTTATTTATTTCAAAATCTCTTATAATCTAAATTACAATCCCAAAAATAAAAAAAAATTGTTTTAAATTTTTAGATTATGTATATCATCAAAATTATGTACAATATTTATAAATATACGTATCAAAATATGGATTGTAAAATTCTTCATCAAACTATTTTATAACATTTCTTTAGATGGTAACTGTTCTTTAAATATTCTACAATATTGGCTAATATTTATATGTATATATATATGTATACTCGTGTTATATAAATTAATGGTATTATCAATATGATGCTGCAATAATTTTTTATCAAATATCGGGTACATTATTTATCTAGAGAGTTTGAAATATTTCCTAATGAGCAGTGATTTGTGAACATTTTCATGTATTCACCCTTCGACCACAATAATGTACAAAAAGAATGAACTAGTACAAAATTTATATAATCAAAGAATGCTATTCATGAAAAGTATATAAAAACGATATTTGTATCCGATTTAAATTTGACTGCAATCAGATAAATATACTAAGAGACAATATTCATTTCCTTTAATTAAAGGATTGTTATCTTCAATTTTAGATACTAAAGATATTAAATTCTTAATTAAAAGTAACCAATCTTTTCAATTACCGGAAGACGCGATTTTCTTATTCCTAGAAATGTTTGTTATTTTGATGAGCGATAATGTATCTCTGGTGTCCCATTCGAATTTTTAATTGCATCATTCCACATCAAAATTTTATATAATATTAAGTCACGAATGATTACAAAAAGTTTGTGCTACTTAAAGACGAAAAAAAAACTTAATCGATAGAAAAATGCATCCTATTAAAATTCCAGACACAAATCATCCGCTTTTGTAACTTAAATTTTAAGTGTGACAGAGGTAATAAGTTCGTAGTTCTTTTTAATATAAATAATTACTACTAGAGTGTAACAACTCATCTAAAGTCTATAAGTTAATAGGATTTTTCGTGCGACTATCTACAATATGTATAGATCATTAATTGCATTATGCAATATGTATAACAATTTATCAACGACTGCTCGTGGTGTGTGTGTGTGTGTGTGTAAAGACAATATTTTGTTAACTTTTGTTCAACTGTTTTTATGCAATCATATTGTCTGTCCTAACGCAATACAAAATGATACATAATAGTTAATAATAATAAACTGTTCGTGATGTAACGAAAAAAAAGGAGAAAAAAAGAAAAAAAAGATGAACAAATGAGAACTTTTACTCTAATACTGCTGCCAACTTCGTTAATTGATTTTATCTAATTTGGACAAATGTATTGTTAACTCTTTGTTATTATACAATAATAATTGTAACTCACGAAAAAATCTAAAGTATAAATATAATCAAACTAATGTCCAAATTAGATAAAATATTTGAACTACTATGCAAAAACGCATTATAATCTTTGTGTATTCTTGTTTTTATAATACGCTAAGTAAATTTTCATTGTACGTGTAATTCAATATTAAATCCATGGATAGTTCCTTAATTTATATTATTTTTTCCTTATTTCGTTTATTTTTCAACTACGCAAAACCTAGCAGATCATAATTTTGTGCTTAAATATATGGAAAAAAAAAAACAAAAAAAAAAAAAAAAAAAAAAAAAGAATATTTCGAAATTTCGACATTTTTGAATATTAATGTGAAGCATTTCCTATAGTTTCCTAGATATTTTTTATTTCAAGAATCTGATTCCAAAATATTTTAAAGTCATACTTGATGCTCCTCAAAGTTTATCAATGCCATTGCATAGAAACTTTTAATACAATTAAATAATTACCGCTAATTTAGTCAAATTAATTCAAGATGTTGTTATACCTTTACGGAGATGTAATTTGAAATTTCATGATTCTTTCTTTTTTAGATGTTGAACGTAATACATATATCCTGTTTGAAATATGTCACAGTCGTATATATTTTTTCATTTTTCTATAACTCATACACTCTTAAATTCTCTCTACTCTCTCTCTCTCTCTCTCTCTCTCTCTCTCTCTCTCTCTCTCTCTCTCTCTCTCTCTCTCTCTCTCTTTTTCTCTTTCATACACTCTAATTTCAACAACACGTATTCTATGAAATAATGAAAATATTGATCGAATTCCACATTTACAACGCGATACAAACATCGGTGACATTCTGATATGCAACTTTTAATGTGATCAGTGTTATTAAAATTTGAACACTGCTCGTAATAATTAGAAAAAAATAAAATAAAAATCAACTTGAAATTAACTTATAGTTATATACTACAACATAGCGCAATCATCCAGCACGGTTAAATATTAACGGAGGGAATGGATGTACTTTAAGGCAGATAAGTGCCACCCGCGACTGGAACCATTAACATATTTAGAATTTAGCTTGATGGCAGAAAAAACTTAAATACCAAGGCAAGCATTATTTTAAAATCACATTAGTGTTGAGTTTCGTTGACTGTTTTAACACTATCTAATTCTTTGCTCTCTTCTTTTTCCTCGTCTTTTTCTGGATTATCCCAAGGTTGTCTTTCTCCGGAACCAAACATGAGATAAAATGTTGCGCACACCACATAAATAGCTGCCGAAATCATGAAGACAATCCTCCATTTTAGATGAGTTGGCTATAATAATAATGATAATTATAATAACAATAGTAATGAACCTTATGGATAATTAACTATTATAATTCTGTTACCGTGCCAACGATTATATGGCCAGCTACTATCGGTGCAAGTAATCCAGCTAGGTTAGCAAGACAATTTGTGAATGCCATTAAAACTCCTGCGAATCTTGGTGAGATATCAAGATGGTTAACTTTGAAACCAGAATAAATACCACCATTAAAACCAACCCCAATAGTAAGGATAACTATTGTCAACCATGGATTGCAACCAGTATAAGATGCTGCTACCAATGCTATTGCTGGTCCATACTGACCAATACTATTGACAATTTTACGTGTACTAGTAAGACTACATTTTTCTAACGAAATCATTTTGTCGGCTGCTTGGCTAAGTATTAATGAAAAAACCCACATATTAAGGTAAGGAAGAGACGATACAAGTCCATTCTGAAATAATATATACGTTATTTATATTAAATAATTTGTAATTAATTGAATGATTGATTGTTTGTTTGTTTATGTAAATTGTTGATATGACTCACAGACTTGATATCAAAATGTAAAATCTGTTTCATAAATGTTGGAAGTTCAGTCATCAATGTTTCGTATCCATAATTTTGACCCATATGTGCTATCAAAATAGCCCAGAAAGGCTTTGAAGTAGCGATTGATTTCCAAGGTATAGGCGGAGACTGTATAGAATAGATAACATAGAATATAGATATTTCGTTTTAAAAAGAAAAAGAAAAAGAAAATTAATAATAATAATAATAATAATAATAATTAAAAAAACATATTTACAGATGCTCCAGCATTTCCCCACAAGGCACTAACTATGTATTTTTTTTCATCTTCAGAAATACGTGGATGATTTTCTGGATCTTCATAAACCAGGAAGAAAAAAGCTATACACCAGATAATACCAACAGCGCCAAAGACATAAAATATTGATGGCCACCCACCAGAAAATCCATATTCAGATAGTAGACCACTTAATGGCATTGAGATGACTGTACCAAACTGAGCACCTATAAATAACAGAGAAAACAAAATCGAATTAATAATAATGTTCGGATTTGAAAAGGGTAACCTACTGTGAGTCATTAAGAACAGTGGATAAGTAAGAACCAAAAGGGTCCACCACTCCTGCGATTCCAATTCCATCGTAGCAAGAAGTACACAATGATTGGATGCATTGAAATATCCAGAGGACTCGCGGGACTCACGGTCAGTTGGTATGTACAAGAGTGCTACATTATTAAATATTGCACTGTACAGGCTTACCAGCATAGACAAAGGCTCCCATCCTGCTCCTCTCGTTTGGTGGTATCCACTTTGCCAACAATGCGTGCGTGCAAGGCACAATTGGACCCTGCAATAGGGATAATCCATTCCTAGGGGGAGGAAATCACACCCAAACAATCAAAAAGCGTTCACACTCAACGAATATGTAATCCTTTAATTTAAATTTAACATTATAACTTTGGAATTTTTTCAAATTAAAATAACACTATCTAAGAATCAACAATTTCTACATTAACATTTATATAGGCTGAACATACGCATTAAAACTATTCAAATTGGATGCAAGTTTTCAATTTTATAATTTTTCTTTTTTATATTAATTATAATAAATAATTTGAAATATATTAATGATCTAAAACTTACATTCATTTCATGGTATGCATATTTCCTGCATTTAAATAATAATAGAAGATCAAAATCTACGCGTATCATGTAGTTAATGTGAACAATATCTTATATTAGTGAGAATATGTAACCAATTTTCCCGTAACATACATTCTCATCTCATTTATATATACATATATATAATATACATATATATATATATATACATATATATGGTGTGATTTTTCAACATTTCATAACTTATAACTATAAGAATATATTTGAAATACAAAGGACTACTTACCTCACCTAAGCCTTGAATAAATCGAACTACCATTAGCGAATAAAAGCCCTGATGTGCTGACAAAGGAACTAATAGTCCAAATATCGAATTGATCAGCATGCCAATGCCAAGAAAATATTTAGATCCAAATCGTTTGGCAAGCATACCGAAAGGTATTTGAGTAAGAACATATCCATAGAAAAATGAGCTTAATAAGTAGCCTTGTTCTTTGGTATCCCAGGCAAATTCGCCGTCTTTCTGTAAATTCCAAAATAAATATACATACAACTATTATTTAAAATTCATAATATAATAAAAACTTATATATTTATTGATATTCTGATTATGAAGAGATAGATTTAGATTAATGGACACTACTCACATGATTTATTAATATAGTAGTATTCTTATTATCATCATCGATGTGGCACTCGTTTGTAACAAACTCTTTATCCCCGGTGATAGCCGTATGGTTGACCATAGCAACAATTGCCACAGACATGTTGGTCCTCATGACATAGGCATTTGCCATGCCAAGAAAAAGCATAAACGTGACTACATGACGTGTTCCCAGCAGGCCTGTAAGCCAACCCCAACAACCTTCTTTTTCTTAGTTAAATTATTCATTCAAAGTTTTTATAATATTGATTAAAAAAAGAAAAAATCTTCCCAGTTTCAGATAAGATATTTTATTCGATAGCAAAATACATTCTATATAATAGAAATCATCTCTATTACGTTATTATTAACTTAAAACATAGAAGGCGAGAAGGTTAAAAAAATAATATTGAATAATTCATGTAAATTCTCAGCTGGAGATAATTTTTTCTTTTCCAGATTGCGAATTGTGTCAATGTAAAATAGGACAGACAATCTTTATCTAATATTTTCTATTTAAATGTATATAGCCCAAGTGTTTATAATTATTTTAATATTTGCCATCACAATAGCAGGTAATTCCTAGTCCAATTTGATTATGTTTGATTGATGATGGATGAATCATTTATTTACAGAAAAAAAGAAGTGTAAGAGAAAAAGAAAATATGTATGATGATTCATGCAAAATGTTACGGAAATGAAACATTGCAACGCACACGCATGCAACGTGCATTAAAAGTTCTTGTCTAATAATATGCATATTATCTGTACTATCAATCTGTAGATTGTCTTCAATTTTCTAATTTTCATATCATTATAATAACAACAACAATAGTGCAACGAGCCATATAGGATACGTTAGACTATACGAATGTGTGTATTGTGTATGAATACAAGTGATAACTGATACAGTTACAAATGTTACATGATATATACAGTAATAATTTGTACATAAGTGTGTCTTTCTCTCTCTTTTTCTTTTAAATATTATATATGAATCTATACATCTATTCAAACAACCTACGTATTTTAAAACGATGAGCGAGTGTCCTTGTGGAATGGCGCCGTATACATAAAATACACATGACCGATTACACAGAAAGATGATGACGACTATCTTACTTTAATTTTTGTTACCTTTCCAAGCTCTATGACTATACACATAGGTACATATATATAAATGTGTGTTCTATTGAAATGCAAATTGTTCCAATAATCTCACAATTAGTTCATTGTCAAAGATATGAAAAGATAGTTACAGATTTCTAGTATATTCAGTAATTTTGTAATAAATCACTATGGTGAACTGCTGACACATCATTGCCATTATTAACGAGAGGAAAGAGACTTTAGCACTTACGTTGATTACATATATATATATATATATAAAAGACAAACTAAATTGAAGTCAATTATTCTATCGAACCGAGTAAAGTTTTCTTTAAAACGATCTTTCATTATCTGGGATTGTACATTTGACCCTAAGAAACAAAATATACTTGAGAACGTCAATCATATGTACATTCATATATGCGTGTGTGTTTCATATATAAAAACGGTAAAGATTAATAATATTTAAGGGTCGATCGAAAATAGAAAACAACCGATCGATCAGATAATTCGATCAGAATCAAACTTTCGACATGTTTTTTTTCTTCTGTTTATTATTTTTGGATTTAAATAGGCGAGGAACGCTTTCGAGATAACAAAAGGGAACGAAGGCTAAATTTATTGGCTTAAATCCAGACGAGTTTTGCTCATTGTTATATCTCTTAAATAAATTTCAATAAGTATGCGTGTACACACTATTTTGTTCGCAAATTTACGTATTCATTAATCTAAACGAAACATATATAAAGCTAATATTGAGATATTTTTATTTATTTGTGCAACACTACAAATCTTACAAAACGAGACGCGAAAAAATGCATCAAAGAAAATTTGAATTGTATATAAAAGCGCGCCATTTTATCGAACGTGCGCGCGTAATTTAATACTTTCATACGATCATCATAATATATACATTCCTGTATATATTTCCGAATTCTAATAAGGAATTTGATGATGATAATCAATAATCTAGCTTAATAAAAAGAAAGTTTCATATTACATGTAAATTTTTTAAAAAAGAAATAGAAAAAGAGTGTATTGTATAAAAATCGACAATGGTCGGCCATCTTCGGTTAGATTCGGTATGCACCGCTCGAGCACGTGGGGGGCTCGCAATAGAAAAATAGTTTCAAGACGAAAAATAGTGGTAGAGAAGGGGTTAAAGAAGAGTAGAGTTCATTGCCGAACGAAAATGATCCTTTTTTTTGTATCGTGTAGAATAATAGAAAAAAAAAAAAGAAAAAACTAACCAGCCATATGACACGGATGTTTTTACTTACACACATGAAAGAAGTCCTTTTTTTCTTCTTCTTTCGTACAATCTTATTTCTTTTTATGTTAAATTAAAAAACTCTATACAATTACTCTAACGAATTTAGCGACAATATATTGTAAATTTTCAATAAATTACTAAAAAATTAAACTAAAAAATTTTCGTATCATTGGATTTCTTAACTTAATTTTACAACGATTATGATTATGATTATTATTAATTGTAAAAAATATAATCAATGTAAAAAAAATTGATGCAATTTGATCGATTAGTGTTAATGATTTGCTGACGCTATAATAAATGTTTGTAGATACAAGAAAATCAATCAAATACTTTTTACAGTTAATATCAATGCGCGCGATCACCACCTGCAGATACATTCTTCTTTATCTTTATCTTTATCTTTATCTTTATCCTTTCCTTGTCTCTTTTCTATTTAAAAATCTCCATATTAGTTAAAAAAAAGAAAAGAAGATCTAACAAAAGTAATCAAAATAACAGAATAATTGACAAGATACAATAAATCTAACGATTAGATTATTTTTAAAAATTAAAAAAAATATTAAAGAAAAGTTAATAAAAAGTAGTAGGATCGACCAAAACAATCGAATATACGAGCAATCATAAATCGCCATTTTTACTGCTACCTTCTCGACGATATAACCGTTATAAACTTGTAATGCAATCTTACAACGTGGCCATAGTGTAAGACATGTCAGACATGAAAAATATCACGCCGAGTTTCTCGAATTATTTCAAAAAAAAAAAAAAAAAAAAAAGAAAGAAAAAGAAAGTAAAAATGTTGGACAAAAAACAATTTTTTTCTCCTTCAATTTTTTCCTATCAAAATCAAAAAATTCTTATCTATTACGCTTAACGACATGACTCACGTAGTTTGAAAGCATTTAGTTCTTTATCTAGCTATTAAATTTTCCTGCTATTGCATAATCTTTCTCACTTCTGAGTCCCTCTTCTATATCCATCTTATTTTTTATTCTGTTCATCTCGAAATGCGTAAAAAATGAATTAGAAAACAATAAAGAAATAAAAGATTACCACTGATCGATTAGCGCGTTTTTCAATTTCTTGCTATTGTTGTTGATTCTTCTAAATTGTTAAAAATATACTTACCATGGTCAGAGTATTTGGGTCGCGGCAGACATTAAAGTATTGTACGTTTTCTCTGGTCTTGGGTAATATCTAATCAGAATTTTGACGAAATAATACGACTTAAAAACTCGCTTACAATTACAGGTAAGTTATTATGAGAAGAACATTCAAAAGAATTTCGAAATGTTCCGATTAATTACCGAGATAACAACGTTGATTGTTCACGTCAAGTGCATTTCAAGTATGATCTAATAAATTTCATTAAATATCTCTTTCCATCTTTCTCTCTCTCTCTCTCTTTCTCTGCGAGATTCTCCTTTCTAATTCCGAGTACATAGCAATTTATTTCTAAATATATATTCATATTATTTGCTCGTTACATTTAATAGAATTCAATCAAATTCAATATCGGTAAAAATATTGTGACCTCGCTAAAGCAAAGCAAAGCAAAGTAAAGAAAGAACGAACGTATTTTGTAAGTATAAATGAGCACGTTTTTTTTTTTTGTTTTGTTACTTTTTAAATATAACCATTGACGTTTTTATTTCTATTAACAGATGACGATGAGTAAACTCGTTCACACGCGAACGCCTCCTCCATGTATCCAGAAATTCACTGAACATAAGTAGATAGTAGAGCTTGTGCCAAAAGTATGATGCTTAATCGAACGAAAAAATACACAAAGAGGAAACAAAAGAATTCTGTTCTAAAACATATGCATTACGTTAATTCTGTAGAAAATTCATGAACATTGTATAAATTAAATTAACAAAAATACACTCATATCAAGTTATAATGTTTGATGAATATGTTCGATTCATTGAAGAGTAAGTTAAATGGGGATAAGTATACATTATATATTGAAATATGTATATTAGTATGATTTTCTTGGTATTGAGAGATGGTAGGAAATAAATTCATAGGATGCGCGTGAAGTGTAGCGCGCACGTGCGTGTCTCGTGTTTCGCCTTCCTTTAACTTTTTCCCTTTTCTCTCTCTTTTCCCTCTCTTTTCCTCTAAACCGGTGCGAGAAACGTGTGCGTTTCTGAACACTCCTCTTGGAAGTAAGCGAATTCTCGACATGCTATTCTCGAAACGAAACACGGGCTATCGGCCAGACTTTTTCGATGGCATTGATAGGAAAAGGATGAAACAAGACTGCTGATAATATGCTAGAAAAAGATACACATGTAGAAAGAAAAAAAAAGAGGAATAGAAGGAGACACATATGCATATACATACAAAGTATACTGAAAAAAGGGAGAGAAAGGGAGAGAAAAGGAGAGAACAAGAATTCGTACATTTTCCATGGCAAGCGGAATAAAACAAAGTCAAAAGATACCTTTCCGTCTTCGCACCGGCTTGTCGTTCTCTTCCAAACCCGGTTGTTCCCACACCAGCACGTGGCCATTCCTTCGCCCCCCGCTTTCATTACCATTGGCCCTGCTACCACTCATGGCACGTTTGCAAAAGTTAATGGAAGAAAATTCTCTCAACAAGTCTATCGACAATGATGACGACGACCTCGACGATAGAAAAAGATATAAATCGTTATCTATTGCTTTCTATTTTTTTCACAAATTATTTATACACTTCTAATAAATACGGATTGAACGAGGTACGGATTGTACGCGGTAGAAATACAAACGATGATTTAGGAAACGCGGGAGACAACTGGCCGGTTGTTAACTTCCTCTTCTTTTTCTGATACTGTACAACACAATCAACGACAAAATAATCGCACGTTAAGGAGCGCGCGAGCGCGCCAACCTCGTGGAAGCAACTCGTACACAATGATAATAACGAACAGACGATGATTGCAAGAACGTTCAGAACGAAAAACGACTATCCTCTTACTCCCTCTCTTTACTCATACTTCTACATCTATCCTCGGGCATTTCCGCCACTTTTCGTAAACGATCGACAATTGTTAATAGATAATACGCATGCGCGAATCTAACGGATTAGCCAATCGCGTGCAATCACGAACTGGACGCCATCTTCCTCGCGCCAACTTTGTTGACCAATCATATTAGCGCGCGCAAAAATTCTTTATATAAATATATCTTAATTGTTATCATTATTAATTATTAATATATTAATTAATTAATTATACTTCGAGGTAGAGATTAAATATTATATAATTGCACTATGCTTCCTTAACCCAAAAATTTTCACGAATTCGTTCAACAAATCGTACATATTTAATCTTCTTACGTAAACTCATTTACATTTGATATAACAAATATTGATCTCTCAAATCGATTTAATTAACGTTAATAACTTTCTTTCTTCTTGTTATGAGAAACGTGACACGCTTTATCAGTATTAGCGATATTTGTCATGACATTTCTACTGTTATTATAATTATGCATATACCAAGTGTCCCGCAACTATGTATTTTACATTTGTATTCGGGTAATTGCAAGCACGTATATGCTGATTTCAAAGGCACAATAAATATTACACTTGGTGTACCATCGTTATTCGAAAGAAGAATGACGCAATAATTATGTTTCGAAAAGAGTTGTCGTCATGGTTAACCTTGAAAAGAGTAAGGTTAATTACCGTATTTTGTGTTCCCAACGATGCATGATGTTTATGCACTCTGTTTTCTTGGATGTAAAATCAAATCGTTATATTCAATCGTTGTTAGTTTTTCGTCCGTTTTTATTAAAAAAAAAAAAGAAAAAAAAAAAAACAAGAACAAGAGAAAAAGACAAGAAAAATGAGTCTTATCAAAAGCGTATGTAAGTATTTAAGCATAGATATATGTGCGAAGATATGTAATCAGTTCTGTAATATTCGCAAAATCGACGACACATGAATCGTCCATATCGCGTCCACGTTATTTCTAAAGGAAGTTATAAATTATCAGTATGATTGCACGAAACGTTTGTCGTTAACGGTAAGAATTACACGTACTACACACATGTGCACACATATATGTGTACGTAAGTACAAAGAGAATTTTTCATTAAGATCCAGAAACTTGTAAAAGTGACGACATCATAATGTTCCTCTCTTAACATACTCATGGAATCTTTTACTATGTCTTCTTATCAAGTGGAAAACTCAAAGCATCTAGGAGGCTTATTGTTGGTTTACAAGGAGTCGCGTTAATCACCTAGCAAACGTGCTATCTAACAGTTAACATTTCTTTTCCTTCTTTCTTTTACTTTCAATAAAATTTCCAGGCGAATTCTTCGAGTAGAACATGATTAATGAATCAATAAATTTCTTAACGTCTGCAACATTGCACTAACTGTAAGTTATGTAACTTCTATTATTGTCATTGCACTCCTCGTAATGTGATGCAAAAAAGAAATTATCGTTCAATACTATTACACGATAAATATGTATATAGATATGTAAATTTATATTTTTTTGTTTTTTATAATTGTTGCGAATAGTTTTGGAGTTTATGAATATTGATATAAAAGAAGCTTTTCAGAGAACGCATTAATATCTACGATCGAAAGATTTGTTATCTCATATTACAGTTCTTTCGATCATTTATATTAACGTCATCTTTAAGATTAACGAGTATTTCGTATGAGTTTTAACGTCATCGACCGTTTGGCACTGAAATTCGCGTTTATTCACTAAAATTAGATACCTGTGCGTACGTGGGTGCGTGTGTGTGTACTGAAAATAAATAACTCGTGTATTTAATTGTATTTAAAGTGTTCACGAACGTTATTACACGAATTATTCAGCTTATTACCATATATATATATATATATTCTGGAATATGTAATCGTTTATATAAATGTTAGCTGTACAGGATGCACCGTCATTTTGTACGACGATATTTATTTATAGTTTAGAAGTGAAAAACGTGCCAAAAAGATGTACTTCGTATAAATATCTAGAATAAATAAATTCGATATTTGATACTTAGCTAAATGAGATCTTTGATTAATTATCTTGCATTGGAATTTATTTGCCTCTTACAATAAGTTGCGCAATAATATATGTTACATTCACGATGATGACGCTATGTTTTTTTAAATTGCGAAAACGTAGATAATGAATAATATCTATAGCATATTAACGATTAATGAACATAGATAGATTTGGATTGTAATAATATTGTGTCGTGAATAAGATTATAGAATATAAGACTTTGAATTTGAAAAGCTGAAAATAACTGAAAAAGCTGAAAAATAAAATTCTCTTAATAGATTTTTCCATTTTTTTTGGTCTATCTATATGTATTTCTATTCTCTATTTTTATAATTGAAGTCGGTAAAGTTCATTATGTTTCACGTTGGTAAGTTAGCAAAGTTACATTATCGACGTTTAATAATAAGTAATCGATATATTCTAACGATTTTATTTATTCAATATAAAATATTAAAAAAAGAATGATAACTTTTTGTTTCTTTTCAAAACGATACTTTTTACAATTACATTTCAAAATATTATCGCTAAAGTCTGTTACCTAATTAAATGTTATTTATCTTGTAATTGAAATAATAATTTGCATAAATACTTTTGTTATTATAAATGATCCCAAGTTGTAATAATATTGAAAAGAAAAATTGAAATTCAGAAAAAAAGAATAAAACAGAAGAAGAACAAGATACAAAGAGGAGGAAAGACGTAAGTGATTTTATGATTGTTTAAAAAACGTTTAAAATACGTGTCGGAAATGAAATCCGATCGTTTAAATACTTACCACTATTAACTATTCTAATTCATGATATAACTTTATAGTGGACACAACAGGAAACGCACGAGCCCTCAATCTCATTATTCACTTGGTAAAGTGGAAAATAACGTCCTTGTTAGAAGAAAAGCCCACACCAATTGTCGCTTATAGAGATACTGACATTGCACGATAAAGGATATCTGTTTACTTCAATTTCATTTTCTTTTTCACACAGCGTACATAAGTATAATTATAATTTTCGGTTTTTATTTTGAAATGCAAAGAACACCTATGTCGATAAGGTAGGAATCATAGAAAAATATCGATTAAAGGTTGCTAAGTGAACATTATCATAATCGATAATGAGATGAGAACACCGCGTTCGTTGACATGATATACTGAAGATTAGAGACATGAATGCGTGTTGTCTTTTATCAAGTAGCATGTATATTTTTATGAATGGTCATTGAATAACTCTTCTCTTACTCATTCAAATCGCTTTCTAACTTTTAAAAATATATGCCACAATTTCTCCCTAATTAAAATATAAATTAATTTCTCGAGTGAAATAATTCAATATTTACATTTAATTATACTATTTTTGAAATAAGATGATTCGTAATTAATTAACTTCGCGTAAGAGTAATAAAAAACTTGAGAATATTGAAAAGAAGGGTAAGAAACGACAATAGAAGAAACTATGACAATGCGAACAATTCATATCTTTGGTTGGAATTTTATTTAAATCTAGACTTTGAAATTATATGGAATAAAATAATTCCTATGACCTTGGGAGGCGCAAAGCTACATAGATTATGATCTATCATTAAAGAACATGTATTCTAAAGAAATCTAATTCCCCCCTCTCCATCCGTCCCACATTTCCTTTACTCGCAATTTCTTTATCCGCTTTGGTGCAGAGATAATCATAAAATTATACTAGTTAATGAAAAAAAAAAAAAAAAAAAGTAAAAGGAAGGAAGGAACCGCGGTTACTTTATTTTAGCACGAGAGTGACCGCTATTGAATGAAAGTGACAAGAATCCTCCCCTCGTTTTTTTTTGTTTCCACACATTGTAACTTTCTCTCTCTCTTTCTCTCTTCTAGTGGAATAATAATCTTCAAATTACGTTATACTAACACTTTACAATCAATTTCTAATGTTGATTCTCTGACACGGAAGTTACGTTCTCTTTATCAACCTTTTTATCATTTCTAATGAAAAAAAAAGGTATTTTTACTTCGATTTATACTTTTAATAATTTGATTGCGTTTGATAGTTCAACAAGAAAACAGGTTAAAAAGAATATTACACAAATTACAGCAATTAAGTTTGAAAGTTTGGTTAAAAGTTTACGTTAAAAAATAAGTAAGTAATATGTCTGATAAGTGTACACAGATTATTTAGTTGCAAGTCTCTCTTTCTCCCCTATGAACTATTATCTAATCGTTAATCATTGATTTATACGAAACATTTATCGAGACTTTAGATATAGCTACTAACATAAATCAAACGTACTATATCTATGTATTTCGGTAGAACTGGATCTATAGTTTGCCTTGATCGATATCGTCTTTATTTTTTCTAAGCATATTTCATGCAACACGATCGTAAATTAAAGGCATTCGGGAATGATTTATTAGTGAATGCATTCACAAAGCGATCGATTATCTCCGTAGACTTTTCATTCACTCGACACACCTATTATTCTATTTTTACTTTAATCGTGATATATGCTCGTTTTCATTTTTGTGCTCTTAGAAAAAAAAAAAAAAAGAAAGAAAATAGGAAAAAAAAAACATCCACGGAAAATAACTCGATTGCGAGTGACGTGTAACAAAGACTTGGAAATAATAAATTTTGATTTTTTTTTTCAATTGATCAGAAGAGAGTGGAATTAACATAAAAATAACAAGAAAATAATGAATATATTTTATCTGGTAATAATCGTTGTCGTCTCACTCACAATTAGTATATACCGTATGCATTTGCATTAGTTGTGAACAAGGTTACTAAAGAGAAGGAGAAGTAATGAAAGATAGAAACAGAAATAGAAATAAAAAAAATGGCACTTAAAACCGTATCGCAAGATAAACGAGCTTTTTTTCTAAAAGAATCAATTCTATGTACAACGAATTGTATAATTTTTAATTTTAATTTTGTTGTTGTTGCATAAACGTTTTTCATTAGAAATAACTTGATTTTAATGAATTTATCGCGAATTTCCTTATTTTTGCACGGTTTCTTTTTTCTATTAAACGAAATGTTTACGTCTCGATTCTTCTACGATTATTTTGATGACGATTAAATGGTCAAGGTATACGTGCTATTTC